TGATCCAAATTGAGACAATTAAGTACACTCCTATAGATTAGTATAGAAATAATTTTTTCGCTTTGCATGTGATGGATATCAGAGTCGCTTCCATTGGGCACCATAACTAACTTAAATATTCCTGTCTTTAGCTGTTATGAGTACTTGAGTTGTGAGTACAATAAAAATGTTACCGCATTGACTGTATTACTAGAGTTGGAGTTTTCTTCTCAAACAGTAAGCAAATCAAAATGTGTACACAGAAATTAAGCTTTAATCAATATTTTATTAACAATAGGTTAAGATGTCTGCAAGTAAAACTAGAATACATTTTCAGGAAATTATACATTTTGCCCTTTAGAGCAACACATGTGGACTTAAATAAATAACAGAAAAATAAATAGATAATCTCTTAAATCTGTACTTGTCCTCTCACATTGTACAATGACGGGCTATATAATATTACTTATTAATTCATTACAAAAACTTTAAACATACCTCTATGTCCAAATTCATATTTTAAGAAAAGGATAGTGAAATGAGTACATTTTCTACTGTATTTATAACGTGGACTTTTCCTCTTAATTATAAAAAATTAACAGATCATTTTGGCTTTTTAAAAAAAATAAAGAATTATTATTAAATCATGATAATGTAACAAGTGCAGTAACCAATTGCAACTAATCAAATTCTATCTTCCTAGTTTTACTAATTCTTCACTTATATGTGATCACTGGATTTACCTGATGATTTTGAAATAAAAGTCATGACATATTTAGCTCTCATAAGATAAGGTATTCTTCTAATTGGCTTTAACACACAGTTTCTTCAATATGGGTTTAATATGTCAGATTCTATTAGCCTAGTTATAAACTTAGGAAAACATTTTAGCAAAGAGTTTTTTTCATCATCATCATCATCATCATCATCAGTATTCTATTTCAATGTATTGTTTATAACTGTTAAACAATGTTACATAGAAAGTTATTTATATAATAAAATTATGTTACAATATAGCATTTCTGAGATAATTTAAATGAACTGATTACATAGAAATCTATTTTATATAATAACATGCTCTGAGGGCCCATTCACATTACTGTGTTGATGTATTGCATTGCTTTATGTACTTGTGCAATTCAGTGCCACTCATACTGCACAGAACCCTAATGCACTTTGTTGATAGCTGTGCATTGCAGCACAGCACATTGCATGACAACGCAGTGATGTTCATTGTACTGCTCTGCCAGAAATGGTACATATACCATTTTTGGTGAATTTTGGTGCAATAGGTAGCCTGGTTAAATAAATGGGCTACCAAGCACAATGCATATAGTAAACCTGGGTTCACACTTTTCTAGTTTGGTGCATTGCTGTTTTTTTGTGTATTAACATGAATTGTGTTAATGCAGGCTGTTGAAATGACTGGGTTGGCAGTGCATAAAAATGTTCAAAAATACATTTGGAAACACAACATGCCACAAAATGCGCTGTGGTTACTGCAATGCATTGCCAAAACGTTTGAGCCCAGGATCATGGACCCTAAAACCTACAGTATGTACACTACCTTTGCAACAGTTTTTGTATACAATACAGAAATCCAAATCTGTATATTTTCATGGCTTAAGTCATTATTCTGTACTAGACAGTTTGGCATTTTGTATGCGATGCTCTGTATTATATTGTTTTAGCTGTCACATATTTTGTAGCTTCTGCTTATGATTAGTGCAAATAATTTAAAATATTTAAAGTGGTATTAAAGCCTTGTTGTTTTTTTTTTAAACATGCTATGTGCAGTAGTTTTGCACAGAGCAGTTCCGATCCTCCTCTTCTCGGGTCCTGGCTTCTCTCCCTTGAGCAGTGCTGCTTGCTCTGGGGCATGGATGTGCCTGCTCCTGAGGCACTGCTCTATGCATCCAAAAGACACATAGAGCCGCGGCTTGACCCTACCCCTCGCTCTCTCCTCATTGGTTCACTGGCTGTGATTGGGGGAGGCATAGAAGGTTTTTCACTTTCATGCATACAATACATGAAGGTAAAAAGCCTTCATCCTTTAATATCACTTTAAGAAAACCTATCAGATTGTACCACCTTGCATTAACAATAATCTTTAGGTAATGCCTCCAGTACACTCGCAGTCCAAGTGCATCTCAATGGGGTGCTGAGGTTCTGCATTAATTTGGGGGAAGTAGAAGGGTGATCCTATGAGCAGATTTTTCAAAAAGTTTGCATTTGCATACGGTAGGTGTTAAAGTATGCATAACCTAAAAGCAAAACTTTTTTTTTTTTTAACTTTGGACAGTTTGGAGAGGGATTAGAACACCTATTAGGTTTTTATTGCTATCCGCGTCCATGTTAGCGAGATTCATCCTCTCTGTTAGTCCTGTTTGTCATTATCATTGTAAGTGAAAGTGGAAGAGAATCCCAAATTTTGGGATGTCCCCAGAAAAGTAATAGAGAGAAAAATCTTCCAATGGGGACACTAGTTCTGGTGATCTGGGGGTCCAAAATGGATTCCCTTAATTTGCATGGATTTCCTCTCACTTCCTGTTTTAACTACGGGACAGGAAGTAAAGGTAAATTTTTCCAATGGGACAGAGATGGCAAAATAGTTTTACTTTAAGGTTTTAAAATGTCCAGGGCATCCTGTAACAATGTACTCTGAAGTCCCTGGTGGAAATCATCATCTGCAGAACCTAATCTTCATTGTTAGGGTTTTAGTTGTCTTTTAAAAAAATATTGTGTGAAATGACCTAAAATTAATAATTTTCTGGGAAATAGTAATATCATTGTGACGAGTGACATGTTATGGAATCATGCCTTTCTACATTCTTCAAAGAAATACTGTATGGGCAATGTATAATATGAGGAATATATAGCACTTTCCATTTAAATATTTAGTCTACACAATATATAATAAAATGTATACTTTGTAAAACATTTTCAGCCTCTAGGCTGGGATCAGCAGTGCGGAAGAGCATATGGGCCGCTGGAAAGGTACATACACAGCACCAAGTTTTATAGATTGCCTTGAGTTTTAAAGTGAAAAAGTTTTGTAGTGACAGGGTCTTTTATAATTATTCAGGTTAAAAAATATTAACTATATTATAATTTTGCTCACAATGTAAAAAAAACAACATTTATGACAATTTTTGTATTTCTTTTTTCGCTCACACTGCTCACCTGTCCATATATAACACTCATCAACTCCAGTCATGTTAAGAATACATACACTCCTGTAAATCTACTGTACACATTGCAAGAATATTAGTGAAATCATTGCACATCCTTTACTGCTTTTGTTGTGTAGATTTTGAAATAAACCAAGGTGTCTGAATTATATAACCAAAAGATCAGTCCAACTAATAAACAAAAATGTAAAAACTACAAAATGCTGTGTTTAACAATTATACACATATTCATTTTTAAAAATGATTTGTAGTATTTGCCTTTAAAAATAATCTTTATAACCAATTAATTTAATTTATAATCTAATCCTAATTTATAAAAATAATAGGAATAATTTTTGAGTGCTCATTACACTGCCAACAAAGACAATGGCCTTAAGCTAACCATGCACAGTAAGTGCTGATTCACATATCTGTGTTGCGTCGGGTTTCCCAGCTAATTGACACAGTAGCTGTATACCCATTGAGGTCAGGTTTACATCAGATTCAGGACAGGATCAGCTCAGGACTGTATCTTGTTTACACATGTCAGGTTTAGAAACAGTTCCGATAGACGTCAATGACCTGAACTGGACCTTTAAAACCACATATATATGAACTGGCACTTTTTTTTTTTTAGCTCAGAGCTTAGAACTTGATTTTTTCTTAGCTCAGCCTATGGACTGAACAAAGTAATATGAACAGATTCCTCCATGCACAGAGTAGATGTACAAATCTCCCATTGCGGCTATTGTTTTTTGTTGTGGGCTTAATGAAACAGATCTAACAGATACTTCCAGCAATTCTATAGAATGCAGATGCACAAATCTGCTGCTGCTGCGGCTTTTCAGAATACCCAAACATCTTCATCTATTTGGATGCAGCCACCATTCCATTGACAATATTCCATCTGGCTCTGTTGATTTTTCAAGCTCATTTTGTCGAGCAGGAGGGTGGCAAGAGGGTAACCAATGGGGCAAATTTCATCCAGTTCACCAGAACCAGCCAAATTTTGCACAGTGCATGTCCAGCCTTAATTCACTGAAGTCAATACAGCAAGCACTAGAAATTTAAATCGATCAAGCAAAATCATTTTTAAATATATAACATCTTTTTAGCATACCAATTAATACCATAAGTATATCTTATTATTTAAATAATATGTGGATGTGACATTTGAAAAATGTAGGGGTTTTATTTATAATCCATACATTCATATTAATAGACTGTATATACTATATTTATTTTTTTATTTACAATTTTATGTTTTATCTTTAAACTGCCTTCAACATATTTCTCTTTACATTTTGTAAAGCCTTGAGGTGGTAGATCTTTAGAGTTTCTTCACTTATGTATTTCTTTCATTTATCTAGAAGGCCTACATCCTAGAAATGATTTGTTGATCAGAGCAATGTTATCCCTTATGTGTCTGTATGCACAGGGTTACACAAGCAGGTAAACAACAAGGTAAATACATTTTACCATTGCTGGCAGCATGAGTAAATCAGTCCCACTAATTGCAAAGGTTCCTTAATATTGGCACCCCAGCCACTGCCTTGCAAACATGTACCCAAGGTGCATAAACATTATTTATGCCAAAAATACATGATGGCCTCAGTGTTCAGTACAGAATAAAATATTATTGAGTAAAGGATATAATCAGTATATTCTTTCCCCAGTTCAATTCACCCACCTTATACTCTCTCCTTAGATCCCTACTCAGTTTAGTCTAGATAATCCCTAAACTATAATCTGAATATATCCAGATTTAAAGGGTGTGCTGTATGAATCAGCACTACTTGTATATTTCTTAAAACATACATATACATAAACCTCTGATATGATATTAGTTGATCAGTAAGCATTTTCTAGCTCATGATGATTGGATTTATGTCTAATCCTGGCAAGATGAGGCTTCTTGTTCTTGGAAGTCCTCGCTGTTTCCTTGCCAATATTTTTCAGCTCTGACTGGTTGTGGAAGCGAGTGTAGCGCTTGCAGCGACATGATGTGACCACTCTGATCTTGTATGTCCGTACTTCATTGTCGGGGCATAGGAGCTGAATACGTTGTGTGTGGCTGTGGGCTGGCACACAACGGTAATCTGATGAGCTCTGGCGCCACCACTTTCCTCGACCGATGGAGTTTGGTAGGAGATGAGAGGGTAAGCATTGACCAGAACAAACTAACTCTTTGGTTGGCTTTAAGCTGCGGCATGGACCATCTGTTATATACTGCATGGAATGCAGCTCTCTACAGCTGAACTCAGAAAGGTCTGAAAAATAAAGAAAAAATAGACTTTATGTACATACTGATAATGTGACATAACTTTAAAAGTTAACTCATACAGTATATAGTGAGCATCAGATAAGAATTAAATTAAAATTTCCTTCTACCACATACCAGAGTGGAGCAATCCATTTTGAACAGTTGTACAAACTCCTTTCCTGTACTGAAAATATTTAGTTTGAGCTTCTCACTGAGTGCATTAGAAGCTGCAGCAAGGCAGATAGAACACCTTATTTCCTAGCTTGAGGATGCCCAACATCAATATCCACAACAGGGTGCTATGATGTTTTTTTTTTTAGAATCTATGTACAACACCCTGTCACAGCATGAGGAAAGTACTGCCAATAACCGGTAATTGTCAGAGAAGTGATGATCAGTGCCCTGATGATCAATGCCATCCACCTGTGCCCATCAGTGTCATCTACCTGTACCCATCAGTGCCGCCCACCTGTACCCATCAGTGCCACCCACCTGTGCCCATCAGTACCACCCACCTGTGCCCATCAGTACCACCCACCTGTGCCCATCAGTGTCACCCACCTGTGCCCATCTGTGTCACCCATAAGTGCTGCCCAGCAGTGCCACCCCATCAGTGCTGCCTATCAATGCTATCAGTGCTGCATATCCGTGGCACCTCATTAGTGCCCATCAGTGCAGCCTCATCAACGCACATCAGTGAAGGAGAAAAATTACCTGTTTGTAAAATTTTATAATAGAAACAAAAACTTTTTTTTTTTTTGCTCTTTTGTTTTTTATAGTGCAAAAAATAAAAACACCCACAAGAAAGCTCTATGTGTGTGAAAAAAAAATTATAAAATGTCATATGGGTACAGTGTTGCATGGCCGCACAATTGTCATTCAAAGTGCGGCAGCGCTGAAAGGTGAAAATTGATGGCAAGCAGAATTCAGACAAGCTCAACAGCACCAGAACATCAAGAGCAGACCTAACTAATCCATCACAGAACTCTGTTAAGCAGAGAGCTCAAATAGATTTCCCTAACAGCCTCTCTGTTAAGCAGAGAAATACAGCTATGCCTAACCTAACTATACAAATCCTAGCACCTGATTAGGAAGGTTCTATTTTTACAACAGTGTGCCCCTTTATATCAGAGTTTCCCCTTACTTCAGAGCCCCCCTTGCATCAGTTCCTCCTTTACATCAGTGTCCTTTCTTACATCCTTTATATCAATGTGCTCTCTTACATCAATTCTCCCTGACGTTAGTAATGTCTTCTTTGAATCAATGTCCCCCCTTATATCCATTTCTCATTTTACATCAATTCCCCACCTTATATCAATGCCCCCCTCACATAAATGCCCCCCTTACAATAGTGTCTTCCTTGCATCAGAGCTCTCCCCTTGCATCAGTGCCCCCTTACATAAGATTCCCCCCCACTCATTAAATCAGAGTATCCCCTTACATCAGAGTATCCCCCTTACATCAATTCCCCCACCCCTTTACAACAGTGTTATTGCTGGGAATGTCCTACATTTCAGTATAGAAAGAAGGAAGTGATCTTCCAGCACACACAACACACAGTGCTGTACAGTCAGTGACGAGCCTTCCTTCCTAGTCTCCAGCTGTCATCTGTTGATGTGGAGAAGGAAGGATCAGCTGGGGCTCCATTCTACTCCATCCTCTGGATCCTAGAAGAAGACAAGCTGTGCCCGCCCGAGGAAGGTCTTGCCTGGCTCGGTCGGTTGCTTCTTTCTCATGCATGCACACATTTTCCAGGCAAGGTTGCAGAGTGCACAACAACCTGAGAGATGAATTTCTGGACTGCCACTCAATGAGAGTCAATGCCATCGCTGGGCAGGAGTGGTGATGTTGTCACTAATCCTGTCAGCGGCGGCGCCCCTCTAGTTTTGCCCCTGAGTGCAGGGAAAGGTTCCTGACAAGTAGGGTCAGATCAGGCACAATGGCTAACAAGAGGAAACATCCAGGCTAATAACATGGAGCTCTTTCTAACAGCATTATAGTGCTTTTTTGGTGCACTGCAAACAGCCACCCCTTCAGTGGAAGCCCACTTTTGATAATACAAGCCAAAGAAAGGTAACGCCATCTGACATATTGTCTATATTTCAGTGCCTAAAAGATCTGTCGTTATTCATTACTGCTAAACATATATACAATATACAAGATGATAGCAACATTAAGAACTGTGTGTGTTCTCTAGGTATCCTGGGCCTAGGCCCTGCTGAAAAGCTGCTCCAGCCTGTAAGCATTGTGGAAAGCTATCACCAGTGGTTCAGAGCAGATAACCTAAGCCAAGCTTATTCACTCACTATACATGCCAAGAAAAGTATCATTGCACTGGAGGTGGAAGCAATGTGTCCCATATAGTATACATATATTATAGTCCTCATTATCTGTATATGGTGATTGTTTAAAGTATATTTATAGCCATACATTTTTTTTTCAGTTTTGGGTAAAAGAGAGAATGGTTGGTTAAAACCCATGTGCTCTTTTTTTGGTCTGCACCCCATTGGGGAGATTTCCCTTACTTTCCTTTCCTGGGGACACAACAGGAAGTGAAAAGAAATCCTATTCTAGATAGTTATTAAAGGAAAAGGCGTCCCCACTAGAAGATTTAACACTTCCTGTAAAATGGTGGATTGCTGGTCTTTTTCTGTCCTGATGGCAACGGTTACAGGACAAATACAGAGGGTGAATCTCCTCAGTGGAGACTCAGACAGCAATATAAACATGGCAGAAGTACTTATAATACCCTATTGATCCAAAATTTAAAAAAATAGAAAAAATGTATAATGATGTTAATGGCTTTGAACCATATGTGACCCTGAACAGTAAAGAGGACTCTGATTTCAGCTACAATGACAAGTGAAGCTACTTAAGCACACTGGGCCTATTGATTACAGGAATAACTATTCTTGTCGTTCTTATTTTTCCTTTTCTACAAAAAATGTTACTTTACACCAGGGAAATGACCTCTATTTTCTGTCTACAATATGAGCACACAGACTTTCTCATTCAGTCAATAAAATAAAGGCTGAACAGAAAAATGCATGCTGTTACAAATCCACTCACCAGATTTAAGGCCTGTGGTTAAATGAACAAACTAAAAACTACTGGATATACATTAATTATATTGTATCCGCTGGCAAATATGCTGGATTCAAGCCTCCAGAAATGATCCAGTATTGTATCAATGATGGAGAAGGATCCTGGGGGAGTTCTGGTAGATCACAAGCTTAATAATGGCATGCAATGCCAATCTGCGGGTTCTAAACTGAGCAATATCCTCTCTTGTAATTAAACAGGTATAGACTCCAGAGAGAGAGATATATAATTTTTACCCATGTAAAAATTGTTTAGTAATACCTCATCTGGAATATGCAGGTCAGTTTTGGGCACCAATTCACAAAAAGAACATTGGGGAGCTTGAGAAAAATACAGAGAAGGGCAACCAAACTGATAAGAGGCATGAAGAAGCTCGGCTATGAGGAAAGATTAGAGGAACTGAATTTATTCTCTCTTGCGCAGAGGAAAGTAAGGGGGGATTTTATCAACATGTATAAATACATCAATGGTTTCATATAGTGAACTCTGTGTACAGTAATTCACCCTTAAGTCATCACAGAGGACAAGGGGGCACTCTTTAACGTCTGGAGGAAAAGAGATTTAATCTCCAAATACGGAAAGGTTTCTTCACAGTAAGAGTTGTTAAAAATGTGGAATAGACTCCCTCAAGAGTTGGTTCTGGCCAGCTCACTGGATTGCATTAAAAAGGCCTGGATTATTTCCTAGATACACATAATATATAACTGGATACTAACATTTATAGGTAAAGGTGATCCAGGGAATATTCTATTGCCTCTCTGGGGATCAGGAGGGAATTTTATTTTCCCCTGCAGAAACAAAATTGGACCATGCTTTGTTTAGGTTTTTTTTGGCTTCCTCTGGATCAACTGTGGGTAAAGGATTATAACTGTTTTTTTTTTTGGTTGAACTGGATGGGAGTATTTGTCTTTTTTCAGCCAGACTAACTATGTAGCTATGTATTATTTGCGATAAAATGCATAGCCTTCTTTTATAAAGTATACCGGCTTTGGCACACCAGGGATTAAAAGCTTTTGTAAACCCAGTTACTAAAAATCTTACATAATCTTCAAAGTCACTTCAGGACCACCATGTTACACCCCCTGTCAAGGCTATTTTTTCAGTGCTGAAAATAGTTTGATTGTCAATTTGCTTTGTTTGATGTTTAAAACCACATTTTTTGAAAAGTGCAAAAACCAAAGTGATCCTATTTTTTGCCACAATTTTTTTAGAGGTTAAAAAAATAAATTAATGCATGATTTAGACATGTGAACACAGGGATTTTTTGTTTGGTTTCAGATGCATTCGTTCTTTAAAAAAATTAAATTTTGTCATATTCATTATGTTCTAACCGAATCATATTAGGAATTTTTGTTGTGTATCTTCTGCATGCATATGGAAATTCGCTGGCCCTGGTGGATTTGAAAAATTTAGCAGTATTTTTTCCAGAAGTTTTGCTCTATATTTGATATTTATCTAATCAAAAGGATTTGATATTTTCGGACTCTTGTCCCATACCACCAGGTGGAATGACTATTTACTGGACAATATTAACTGGTGTCATATGCATCTGAAATTTAACGAATGGAACATAATTTTAGATCCATTCGTTATCTGAATCCATATTTTATCAAATTAAATAAAAAAACTGAATTCATTTTTCCCACGGGTTAAAAAAAAAACTGCTATCGCAGCATGTGACATCATCCGGAGCAAATGCATTTGTTATAAACAGGAATTGCAGCGCTCAAACAATCCAAAAATGTACTGTATCCACATACAAATTCAACAATGGACAACAATATAAATATCATATACAAAAATTTACATATACAAAAATGAAAGTCCAGTAGTGCTTTTGCTGAATAATTCTAGACTATGGAATAATGAG